ACATAGCAAGGATATATTTATGTCAGGGAAGACAAGGTTAACAAAATACACCATGCTTACATAGGAAGACAGAGAGATTGGCATTGAACCCCAGGACAATGCACTCCACCCCACAGAGAGGGGAGCCCTACAGAGTGCACACTTTCCTGCAAAGCCTGGCGTAGCTCTGTGGTGACACTGTGGCACCACCAAAATCCATCTCAAAATCAAAAAACTTGTCTGAACCTTAAAAATCCTGATCTAAATAGGAAACACACTTGCTCTCCATTTCAAGGCAAAAAGATGTATAGTAATTAGTACAGGCATCATCTCCAGCAGTTTACCTTTGAATTCAAAGTTAGAAATATAGAAAGAAAAAAAATACTCTTTTTTTGAGAAAGTTGCTCATATACTGGGATTTAATAAAAACTGGTGAACTTTTAATGTATTTTCTCTCACCAGTGGAACATCAAACAAGCAGCACTTAGAATGCAAGCATAATGTCCATCCTCTTAGTTAGGCTACCTAAAACTGAGATTTAGCAGAGTACTTGGCTTCTCATCAAACCTGAACCACGGGATTATAAACACATTTAAATCAGTCTTTCAAACAAGACAGACCAACCTGTCTGGTGAATCTCTGTGCTCCTCCTACTCATATCACATTTGTAAATGGGCTGTTGATAAAAGCCACAAAATACAAACTCAGTCTGTCCAGCTTAATACTAAACTGCATGGGTTTACACCAAGTATGTTTGTTACTTGTTTCTTCCCTTCAATGCTTGGTATCTAAATAATTTAGAAATACTTCTGGTTGGTAAATAACAGTTCCAGTGCCAAATGTTAGTACAAGGTATTGGAGCAGCTGTAACTGTGCTAAGAGTCCACATGGATAGGAATGAATATCTTCTCTTACCACAGAGCAAACAACCTATACTATCTATTATTGCAGAAACAGATGCTGCCACAAAAAGGGGAAAAAAAGACAACAAAATTTGTTATCACAAAAGTCTCATATTAATTCCAGCCAATTGTAGTCATAAGTACTACAGAAGACCTGATGCTATGGTACTGCAGAGCAGCTAACATTTCACACAGAGTAAGAATGCCTCCTAGGAAGAAAACATTAGCAATTACTGGTATCTTGCAAAATAGCAGATGTACAAATTTAATCAACCCTGTCACCTCCTCATCCACATGGACTGAAATGGGTGTATGTGTATAGAAAAATTTTCCACAAGAAGTGATACAGTCAACAGTATCTCAGCATTCTTTAGATAGACTTCACAGAAACCACAAGTTAAATGATGGTTTGTCTGGTTGTGTTTCAACTCAATACACAGCTTAGTCTACCAGGGTGCAATTAATAACCAGGTTCCAGCAGAACTGAATTAATAAGCTTTTTAACCACACACCAACACTGTGTGTCTAACAATGTTTAGCTATGAGGATTATTTATAACTCTGTCAACTATGTGATAAAAATCAGTAACAGGATTTGCCCTGTTGACCATCAAATATTTCTAACAGTTTTCCCCTTTGTGAAAACATACACAAATTGGAATCCTGTGCTGTTTGAATGCTGCAGAAAAGTTACAGAAAAGTCATGGTTAAAAATACAAGAACTTGCAAGGAAAATTTCAGCCAGCAATTATTTTCCAGTAGGATTTCCATGAAGCTCTTCTTGCCAAGCACCAGAGCTTACTTTTGTCATTTTAATAAAACAAGAATTCAAAAAACCCCCAAACAACAACAACAAAATCAAACAAATAAACACCCCCCAACAACAACAAAAACAAATAAAAACCCAAACAAAACTGAAAAGAACCCAAACTAACAGAACCAAAACAACCCACCCACATCGTTAGGTTACTACTCTTAAAGAATATATGCACTTTGTTAGGGTTTGGGTTTTTACAGTTAGGCAATGTGCACAACAAACTTTGAAAACAATCCAAAACAGAGCCTCAGAAGAATAGAGACAAAGCATTATTTTTCAAATCCAGAAGCAATCTTGTTGAAAGGACTGTACCAGCCACCATAAAACTGGGACTCTCCCATCCTTGCACTTTTCAAGCTTCCAAGTCAGTGACTTCGAAGAGCTCATATCTTCCCCTTTAGGCTGGCATCACAGCTACTTCTACATGAGAATGTTGGTCAATCACACACAAAAAAATACAGAAACTCAAAGTACACATGGACTCGTCAGACCAACTACGCTTCAGGACTTATTTCTGAAGTAATTGAGATGAAATAATCATAGCTTTAAAATGCTGGTTGTACAAAAAGTCCAGAGCATGCACCTCAGAAGACTGAGGTTTTACATTTTCCTACTATTAAGCTGAGCAAACATGCGTTTGATCTATGCTTATGCCCCCATGCGAAGATGGAAATGTTTCAAGCATTTAACTCCAAGACAAAACTTCAAGTACAAAATGAAAATGATTATGTATTCAAATGTATTAAAACCGAACACTATATTTATTTTATTGTCTTTGCACTTAATAAATTTTCCAAAAATCCATTTCAATCAACATCAGCACTTGCAATGAGCATTCTGCCAGGAACATCAAGACTTGTATCCAATTATCTGTGCATGCCATCATTATGGCTTTCATGTACTTCAAAAAGAAGACCAAAAGATGATTGAAGAGGTTGTTAATGTTTTACATGAAGGTTCTTTTCTTTTAGTTCATCTGGTTGAACAAAAGCTCATTTTGTTGATCCATCAGTTTTCTGATTAGTCTGATGAATGAAGCATTGACTTATGTCGGCATACTTCTGTATGGTATAACATAACTGCATTCATTTAACAATCAATCAAAGACAAAGACATATTTAGGAAGATATAATTTAGTTTTTCTTATCAGTTTTTTTAGCAAGAGCAAATCTCAAGCTCCTGAAAATGAAATATTGCAACATAAAATGATAGAAATGTCTTGTTTTGATTTAGTTTAACTTGACTGCCTAAACACACTTCAAATTATTTATTTCCAGATGGTACTAGAGGCTATAAATTATTTCTTCTTTTCACTTGCAGTGTAAATAAACTGAAGGTCAAAACTAATTTTAACTTCATTATCTCTTGAAGTAGTAAGGTGGGTTTTTTCAAAGCTTATACCAAAAATAGCTTTTTCTTTCCCCAGATACTATGTGGCACTGATTAACATCATATAGTTACTTTTACCTTTTAATTAATTTAATTAGCATTAAAACTACCACCATTATAAAATAAAGAACATGTTATGAAATAAATCTTATACCCTTAAAGAACCCCTAAGGTTAGTAAGTTTATAATATTTTAATACTTTCACTGTTTTCATGAAACAAAAACATGTACAAAGCCCTTTTAAGATATGTAAGAAATAATACTAGAGAAATAATTATATTGTATGTAATTACATTAATCCATTACTCTTACACGCCCATAATTAAGCAAATGTCTTAGAACTTGTCTCCATTGATTTCAACATTGCATTGTTAAGATCTAGTAATAAAAAATACATGACTATTCTGTTACTCTAACATGTTCAGATTTAAATGAGAGTTTTCCCCAACAATACAGTTTTGAAAGAACAATCTTCACACTGCATACAGGCTGAACAAAATATCCAAAAGGAGAAACAACATTGCCCTCTTGCAACTAAGGAACACTTCCGTTGCAGACATTCAGCTAGAAATATCAAATAAAGCTTTCTTCAACCCTCTCAAATTAAAAAAAAAACCAATTAATACAAGAGTGCCCAGTACAGTTTTGCAACTGTTTATTCTGCAGTTAGAATATTTATGTTACAGAAAAGCAAAGGTTCCATAAATCCCAGCCAATTTCTTATGGCATTTTATGGTCATTTTATGCAAAATCTGTGAGGTTTAGGTGTCACATACTTAAGCCTATACAGACCCACAAGAAAAATTCAAGTGAATGCACAGTGTGAGGATCCAACACACAGCGCGGTGAAAAAACAGCAGAAGCCCAACTCTACTTGTATGGGACCCTGGATATCCCCAAGAGCTGAAGGATTCTAGCTGTTTCCTCCTGCAATTACAGCAGTCCAGTCTGATAAACCTCTGATAAATCTCATTGCTCCCGCTCTCTTCAACTTACAGAGTGCTTGGAATCCTGGTTATCCTCATATTAAAAAATAGAGTCAAATTCTGCAAAGAGCTACAGCTACACTTTTAAGAAGCATAAAGATACATGGAAGTCTTGGATCTCTTGAATTTCAGTACTGCCAACAGTCTAAAAATTTTAACTCTAAACCTTTAAAATTTGTGTGAACTTGATAGGCTTTTGTTGCAGTGGCTTTTTTTTTTTGGTTGACTGTTTCTTTAATTGTCCCCAAATTCACTGACTTCCACATGAAGAACATGGTGTTTGGCTCCCTTGATCGTCAAAGCCACATCACATTTAAACTGTACACAAAGCCTTTTGCAGGAGAGACTACTATATTTCAGCTGCTGTCAGCTCAGTTATATACTCTCCAAATGAAGGAAAAGATGGGTATTTGGAATTTATTTTTAAACTTGCTCATAACCAAATGCAACTGCAAAATTCCACATCCATGTAAGAGAAGACAAAGCTTCTGAACATAATCAGAATTAACTTTTATCAACTACAAGTGCTGTAACTTTACACATACAGTCAGCAGTGGAGTAATGCAAAGTCTAGGTTAGGTAGCTGTTGCTCAGCTAGGAGTCAAAACAGTAGCATACAGGTTTATTTCAGAATACTCAGACTCACATCCCTATAATTATTAGTACTGGAGAGTTTGAGTTATTTTTCCCTTCAGCAACTCCTCTACTAAATGAAGTGAATTTTTGCAATTGAGACACTGCTTGTCTTTCAGTCACAGCATAATGCAGTCTGGCAATAAACCATTTCCTACTGTGTGCTTTGCAATTACAATTCCTCACCGATACCGTAACTCAACAGGGTAATAAAAAATAATCAGTATTTATCTAGTGCCTGTGGATTAAAACCTTTTTAACACTCCTGAAACAAAACAGAAGTTATGAAACATACCCAGACAAGGAGCAACAGATTTCTTTTCACTGTTCCACAGTATCCCAGCATTCCAACTATGATGAGGAAACAGCAGACTGCAATCATAACTGGGTGGACCACAGGAAAGTAAGTCAAAATGACAGCCTCCTCCACCCTAAAAACCAATCAGAGCAACAATCAAAACAAGCACAAAAAAATGATACAAATGAAAAATATACAGACATTAAAAATAAAATGGTGATTAGCAGATGTGTTTTTTCCAGCACCTTACACATTTCACAAAAATCTCTTCAACATGGTTTTACTGTCAAATGCTGCATTCAGTTACCAAAACGGCATTGTCCAAAACCTCTCCGGAGCAAAGGTAAACCTCTTGGCCTGCACTTGCACACTATGCAGAACAGTACAAAAATCTCTTCAACATGGTTTTACTGTCAAATGCTTCATTCAGTTACCAAAAACTGCATTGTCCAAAACCTCTCTGGAGCAAAGGTAAACCTCTTGCCCTGCACTTGCACACTATGCAGAACAGTGAGACCCTGTTTTACCACCAGGGCTCATAAGCACTGCTGTAATAAAATTAATAGAATTTCTAAATCTCTGGACTGAATAAAGTATTCAAAACTAAACAGTAATATAATTTGATTACATGTTGTCAATGGGCCAAAAATTGATCCCTGTCAGAAGAAAAAGGCACACGATTGAAACCCTACCTTTCCCCTTTTTCTAATTTCAACTGGTGCCTGAAACTGTGGCAAAAAATGCACCTTCCAATACAACAATGACGAGTTTAACTAAACGATTCTCAATTCCACAAATCCTAATTAAGAAGCTTACCACACAGAATGAGCAACATCTACCCCAATCAGTAACCCACACAGATCAGAAGATTAACTAAAGCTTTACCTTGTTTCTGCAGTTAAAGTGAGAACATTATTCAGGTAGTCCCTCAGCCAAGCAGAAACACCTAATATGCTGATGGACATCAACTAGAAAGAAAACATTAAGTTATTTATCATGTGTTTAATGCAGATTACAAGATCATTAATAATTTAAATAGAGAATCAATCATCACTAACATCTTTCATGCATTCATTTATTTGAACAGTATTTGACAGTATGTTTACTATCCCCAAAACTGTACTTCTATATGCTTAGAATTGGTTTGCTACCCAAGTATGAGGGTGCCAGTGACAATAATCTTTTCCACATAGTGATGCTACTGCTCCTACCACTGCACAACATAGCACAGAAACAACAGGGAGGGCTTACACTGCTGAAATCAGTGACTCTTCAGGGCTCACAAATTACACATATCAGTCTGCATGAAATCATGAAGCCACACCCAGGTACATAGCTAGTGAAGAAAAATCTGATACAACAGTCCTGATACACTGACACCCAAGAGAGGAGATTTATCTTTGGGTTAAATTTAGGACAATATGATTCTCTTGCTCATTCTGACACAGTCACACCATGAACACATCTCAGTTTCCTGAACCAAAAAATGAAAATAAAACTAACTGCATTTCAATTATAAACCATAAAGCATTTGGGTATCTAACATATCAGGAACTTCAGAGGCATAAAGCCACTGCACTTTCACCAGGACTGCCCCCACAGCAAGTAAATCCCCAAGACTCAGCTAGAATTCCCCACCTAGAATTGCCACCACCTCAGCAGACATGGATTTCTGTCACCTGATGCCAGTGTACACTTCAGCACACCAGGAACTTACCAGGAGAAGCTCTGCCCTCTGATTTTCTTGAGAAGCCAAACCAAAACAACACATTTAGAACCTGCCACACTGTGACAGCACCAGCCCTGCTGCTGCTGTACCAGAGGTACTGCTAGAGGACAAGGCACTCTTCACTGACTTTCACAAGGCTACCCAGGCCTGAACCACAGAAGACACAGGACCTCACTGTCTTGCTGAGGGAGGGAGTCCTAAGCATGCTGACTTTCCTGAATACTACTGTTTTCATGAACTGTATAGGAGTATGACAGGACATCAGCATGATACTTACCGTTTCTTAAACCAGTATGAAGTGTTAATCTCCCCTGTTGTCCTCAACATCTAGCTTCTCACATGCCCTCATATTTCCCTGAAGGTGTTTTGAAGATCAAGTAAAGTGGTTCAAGCCTAACAGGAAAAGTCCCTCTGTGTCCTTACTGGCTCCTTAGCCTGCAGCATGCCCGCAGCAGACTATTTCTGCCTTTAAGATTTCACAGAAGTCCCAGCAGCTGTCCCAGAGCTTCTTCCTGCTTTTCAGATCTATGCACAAAGTACAGGCACTGCCCTGGTTTCGAGTGCTGCCTGCAAGAGCTGGGTGCTTTGCATGCTGCAAGCATGCTCCTAGTAGCTAGTGCATGCTACATATCTAATATATTCACTCCTGTTCTTTATACTCTGTGGGATCTGTTTTGGCTGGTGAAACAGTAACAGTAAAGAACATTTTCTATTGTCTTATTTACAGGAAGCTGCAGGAAGAAGGAAAACAAGATGACTGGAATCTCCTCCTAAATAAACTCCTCCCACCTATCACCTAAGAAAGCATCATAGGCAAACACACCACACAAGCAGTCAAAAACATTAGAGAGGTAAAGCAGACTACAAGAAGCCAGCCTACTTTCTTGTTGTGAAAAGGCAATACAAAACATTTTTAACCCTCCACATCTCCATGTAAGGCCTGTTGATACACACAGAAAAGCATTAGCTCACACATCCACTCTGTTTCTGGTAAAATATTTAATATATATTTATGATGTAACCTGATTTGGTTACTTCATTTTGCAACAGCGGTGTTCAGAAGTGAGAAGTCCATCAAAACACTGCTCAGAAACTTTCAGTAAGAGACAGATGGTCCTGTTAGAAGAGCAGTACCATCATTTTTGGAAAAATGATGGCTTTCTAAATAATATTCTTCCTCACATATCAGACTGGTGAACTGCCTGCTCTTTGCTGTCCATCAGGCACTCTCAGGCTGCACCAATTTTCTTTCAGGCGTCAGCAAGCGGCAACACATTGTACACAGCAGTGAGAGGTGGTGGATTTCGAGGTAGGCTAAACTGCTCTTTAAGCAAAGGTAAGATCTGGCAGCTTACTGAAGCATGTAGGTTACTCACAGACAACAGGGACATCACAGAACAAACAGGGAAAGGCAGAGGGGACAGAAAGGACTTCCTGAAGACCAAAACTACTGAGAAGAGTCCTGTCATTAAGAGAATCATTCAGTTTGCTAGAAGAAAAGGACTTGCATGCAAAGGCAAATTAGGAAGGACAAGAACTTGCATTTCTGTTTGGTTTGCCTAAATTGAGTTTTCTCTACCTAGATATGTATTTTTGCCCACATAAAATCAAAGGAAAATCTAGCCAGATACATCACCAAGCTAAGGTCAACACATGGCTGTGTGACTTCAACAGAAATGCTCAATGATGACATCAGAAAATGTGACTCCCTCTTCATTTATGAACAGCAACTGGAAGAAAAGGAGTGCTTCCTTCACCTAGGAAACACAACCTTCACCAATAATATAACTACATGAACACCATTTCAGTTTGTAAGAACAAACTCTCTATGAAAGGCCTCTTGCATCATTCAGAAAGATTTTAGCCATTTAGATTCTCCCTGGCTATTCTCATTAAGTATGGATAACTAACAATTATTGTTACTATTGTTTCTTGCAGGTGCAAATTCTATGCAAGAACATTCCACCTATAAAGCCTGTGAAAGCCAGGCTACCGCTCAACCACTCACCTACCCTGTGCCTGGCATGTTTTCACCACCATTAACTGCTTCATGTGTTACTGACTTCTGCTACTCTTAAAATGCACGAGAGCTAGGTCAGTATGATTCTGAAAAAATCATTGCCTTACCTTGCTGCTAAACAGATGTTACACACAGATTACCTGTGCAACACTCTCCTGCCAATCAAATTCCTAGTGAGGCACCTTTGGGCACCACATTTTCCAGAAAGTCTGAAGTGAATTATTACTCTGAATGACCTGAAACCTGGAGTGCATTCATAGGCATTAAAGTTAGTAACAGTGTCCATCTGGGGTGGCAGAAAGGCATGGGCAGAAAGTGAAGGCAAATACTCAAGAGGCTCCTCTTGAAAAAAAGATTATCAAGTACTAGCACCCATCCATCAATCCACTTGCACACCTGCTCCATAGCCACAAGGGAATCACAGCATGAACACAACACACGTCTGGCCTCCACAGCCTCCTGCTGCCTCAATGTGCTGCTCTGTAAAAGCACTATACATCCTCAAGTGCCAGATGACATCAAGAAAGCTCCAGGCACCCATCACTTCACACCACCTACAGCACATGCAGATCTTCAGCCAACAGCACAAGAAGTCCATCAACACCAGCAGTACAACTGAGTCCAGGCACTCAGTAGGCAGAAAGAGTAACAGCCTCCCCAAAAACCTTGGTGTGCATCCAAACCCACCAGCAAGTATCAGCAAGCACATCACTGCAATTCACTGCCAAGTGATTTTCAAGAAGTCATGGGCAAGAGTAAGGTCCTGATTACAGCTAGTGTTGGTTCATTTGAAAGATGGTAAAGCAGTGGCCCAAAAAACTGGCAGTCACCACTTCAGCCACTGATTTATATGTATAATACAGTTAAAATCTGTATCAAGCAATCAGATGAATGAACAGAAATTTATGACAAAACTGCTAAGACAATTCTCACTTCAGCAGTAACATCATTTCTCCAAAAGTTCTCATTCAAGCTTCTCGGACGACAGCCAGTCTGCTGTGCTGTAAATATGATAGGATAGTATGCAGTAAAATATGTTTATTTGTTGCAGCTGGCTGCAGAAGTCACTATGGGTTTAATTCTGAACTGTCACAGTACATTGTATAGCCATCAACATGACACTGAGGAGTTCATAATGATGCCTACTGTAATGCTCTATTTCAAATATATTTTCACACTGATTGAACTTAGGTAATAAATTCTATTTTTATATATGAGCAATATGCACATAGTAATATATTAAATTTTCTAATTCATTTCTAATGCAAAGTTTTTGAAGTTACTAAAGTTTTTTCAGACAACTGAATCAAAATATCCAACAACAGACTTCAGCCATTAGGAGCGATCATTTCCAAGCACAGTTTAAATTGTCTTAGGAACTCTCTTACGCAAATTAGACGTAAGAGAGGACATAATCAAAATTAAAAACTAAAATCATCTGCAATTCATTAAGTATATCTTTTAAGCCATTATTCTGAAATTTCTACTCCCAGTGTCTCTGAGGCCATACCTAAACTGGAAAATAAATCCATATTTCCAATTAATAAATGAACATGGATTTCTGTCTTTAAGGGAGCAAGTCCATTGTTCTTGCTATATCCACACCTGTGTTCACATTCTTATAATTTTTTTTCATTTGAACATTCTAACACATTCATTTTACTTTTGCTCAAATTTGAGAGTGTTTTTTACATATTAAATCAGTGGAAAGATTAAAAGTATCTTCCATACCAAAAATCACACGTGATCATTTTTATTCTAACAGATGGGGTGAACATCTTCAGGCCATGCTCTGATACCCATAATGAAACACTGATTAACAGCACTACACAGCAACCTGCTGTGCATGAAAAGGTTTCTAGCTACAAGGAAATTACTTCCAAGATATGACAACATTCATCAAAATATGTCCCATAATTTTAGTTAACAGAAAAAAAAAAAACCAAACACCACAAACAAACAAAACCCAAAACACAAACCTTGTGAAAATCTTCCTGTTAAAACTGATTTGGGTAATCTGAGCTATGACTTGGCCTTACCAAGGGACCGAGGGAATACATCACTACAAGGTCATGAGCATGTTGTAATGCTTTTACAGGATTTTCACTATTAGGTTCAATATTCAAACCCATGAACAAACACAGATAACTCAGATCCATGGATAAACAGGTACATTTTTTGAGACAGAGGGACATAAGGGTGGAGGGGACAACAAGAGG